GGTGTGTGTATGTGTGTGTTGACTTGGAGACGTGGATCTAATGCAGCAGAGAAAGAAAAGAGAGAAAGAAAAGAGAGAGCAAAGAGAATCTGTGGTTACAGCCAGAGACTTCATATAGTTATGAAAGAAATAAAACAATTAGAAATCTACATAGATCATGTGATAGCATACTATGCTAAAGTGTGTATATATAACCAAATCCTAACATTTGTGTGGGACACATTTATGTGGCTATGGATAGATTTGCTGCAGAGGACTTTGATCTTCAGTTGAGCTTATTAACACGGTTTATAAATGTAGCGACCGTTCTTACAATGAGTGGTGAGGTTATTGAACTTACTGTGACTGTTATGGATAAAATCATTGTGGAGGGGGCGTGGCGCTCAGCTGCAGGAGGGGAGGTGTGGGAATCAGTTGGCTAATCACTCTCCCCTTATAAAAACAGTAGCGTGATGGGCTTGGGAGGAGGAACTGGAGTCGGAGAAGGACCCGGGCCACAAAATCAGGAACGACCGAACAAACTGAACAAACTGAACAACCGAAAAATGGCCCATGCTGGGCGTGTGTGTGTGTGTGTGCACACACGCTCAAATAAACGTCTTTCACCAAATACTGGTCTCAGTAGATCTCTGTCGAGGCACCCACGGTGGCTGAATGGCCACAATCATATACTGTAATACAGGCGCGTTTGTGTGCGACGCCATGAGGTGGCCATGCACAGATAATTTTAATATTCCCATAAGAATACACTGTAACTTTTATAATCGTTCCATAGCCCCAAAACCTACAATAACGCCTTAATAGGCACTGCAGATAATTACACATAGCAATAAAACAAAAGCATTATATAAGAGAGATGTAAAAAGAAATAAGTTATAAAAAAGTGATCAATAAAAAAAAAATGTTATTGGCACTTTACCTTAGAGACTGTCAAACCGGGGTGTAGGCTTGACGATGCAGGAGGAGACGGAGATAATCGGTGTGGAGGTGACTTATTTATATTTATTTAATTTTTATATTTTTAATATTTAAAAATATATTTTTTTAATATATTTTTTTATTTTTAAAAATATATTTTTTTTTTCTATGACTTCGACGTCATAGATGTTGGAAATTTAGTAAGGGTGTCAAGTCGAATATTTGATTGCATTCAATTTCGGATTTTGGAAAATTCGTATGTTTAGACAATCGTAAGTAGAGGTTCTACTGTATTGGAAAGTGTGATATTTTTTTACTGCAACTTAGTAGAACTGAGATTTTGTCTGAGAAGGCATGGGATGGGATCAATAAAAATTCCAAAATATTTTTTGCCAGTTTTGAATAATTATTTTAAAGTTTTTAAAAAATCCAGTTTTGCGCATAATTTAGGGAGAGACGCTCATCTCTAGATCAATATTGCAGTCTTTTGACTGAATCTCAGTTGAAATTAGATTTTGTGTGATAAGGCATGGAATGTGATAAGGAACACTTTCCAAAAACAGCATCAGTGATTTGAATTTGATGCAAGCAGCTAAGTGAACAGGGGTATGACATGTCGGCCTGCAGCATTCTGGATCATCTTTAGTGGTCTCACAGCACAGGCTGGAAGGCCTGTTTAGAAGGGCATTGCAGTAGTTGAGGCAGGAGATGACTAAGGCCTGTACTAGGAGCGATGTCCCATGTTGGGTTAGATATGGCCTAATCTTCCTGATGTTGAACAGAGAAGCGGCATGATTGAGCAACAGAGGCAACATGATCCGCGAAGGTCAGCTGATCAACAATCATGATGCCCAGGTTTCTTACTGTCTTGGTTGGTGCCACGGATAGTTTATCTAACCTGATATTGTGGTCATTAGTTTGCTTGGCTGGAATGATAGCCGTTTAGTTTGGAAGAGAGGTGACCTTTATAATCCATGCAGATAAGTCAGAAGGACAGTCAGAGATTCGCGTAGGTACTGAGAGGTCGTCTGGAGGAAAGGACAGATAGAGCTGGCTGCTGGGTCCAGGGTGCTGCACCAGAAGACACGGCCTCCACAATCACCGGACCTGAACCAATTCGAGATGGTTTGGGGTTTAACTGGAGTGAAGGCCAACAAGTGCTTAGCATCTCTGGGAACTCCTTCAAGACTGTTGGAGGTGACTACCTCTTGAAAAGCATCAAGAAAATGCAGAGTGTGTGCAAAGGAATAAATAAATCTGACTTGCCATCCAAGAGAAACTTGACTTTTAAAATGAAGAATTCACTCAAACACTTTACTTAAAGCAACCAGAGCCAAAATCGATTAAACTTATTTGACTAAATCGAATTAAACCAATTATTCAAAAGGAGCAGTGGAAGCAGTGTTTTTTACATACAACCAGAGTCAGAAATTGGTTTATGGGCCAAATGTACACAGCAATTTCCCAGTATCCCAGTGCAACAGGACTGTTTAAATAAAAAATTTGAAAAAATGGAAAAGAAGATACATATGATATGTTCGGGTGTTTTTAGTCTTTATCTTTAAGTGACTGCTATGATCTACAATTGTGCAGAACACAAACAGTCTCCTGTTGGAGGACTGTGAGGCGGCTCGTGAGCACAATGCGCTCCAGGCTGCTCTTGGTGAGGGCAGAGGATGCAGGGAAACCACACAGTAATGGAGGAGGTGAGGGTACTCTCAATGGTGGCTCTGTAGAAGTGGGTGCGAACCTTGGGGGAGATGTTCATCTTCCAGAGCAGTCTGAGGAAGAACATCCTCTGATGCGCCTGCTTGATGACCTTGGTTGAGTGTGTCCCACTTGAGGTCTCTGTTGATGGTAGTGCCTAGGAACTTCACAGAGGTCACCACCTGTTGAACTCCTTCTCATCAACAGAGCTGTTGATGAGAAGTGAGGGGTGGAAGGGAGGATCCCTGCGAAAGTCCATGACCATCTCCACCATCTTTTTACCGTTGAGCTCCAGGGTGAATGTGTCGAAAACATATCTTTTGCATTTTAATTATCATTTAATACTCAGTGCGACAGGAATGTTACGTCAATTTACAGTGACTAACCAAAAATATTATGATCTCAAGAAAGTATTGAACTGTGTTTGGAAAAAAAAAGAAACAAAGAAAATAATGTGTTTTTAAGTGATACAACCACAAATCTGTTTCAATCAGATGGTGTCTCATCTACAGCAGTGCACAGTTCAGTTTCCAGTTAATCAGGGGGCGATTCCTAAGAACCGATTCCAAAACCTAAAGAAGATCCAGACACATGCATATCCATATGCAATCTGTAAACTATTTGTTCAAATGGAAGTAATCACAGTGTTGTTGTTTTTTGTTTTGTTTTGTAAAGTTTGGTTATCTTTCCATTGAAAACATTCTTAGCAAAAAGGAATTGTCTTATTTGCAGATTACAACAGTTAAAAATAAATGAATGTTTATAGTTCAGAGTAACTGGTTTGGTTTGGAAAATCAATGACTCCGAAGCTGTAAAACAGGTCCCTGTATCAGTGAAGATCGTTTCCTATAACATTCCACATACAGTCCTGCAGGTTATTGTGCCCCTGTGAGCAACAAAAATCAGGTAAAAATGAAGACAAACAAAACTTACATGGAAAAATGGAAGTGATCCATCACATTCATTAAGCTTTTAAGATATTTATATTAAATCTTGTGACATTTAATTGGTGCCAATTAAAGTCACAGAGAAATAGTGATCAGTTGTGCTCAATCTTATTGAACTGATTAGGTTTCCAGACATCACGTTTAAAAAAAAAAAATCTAAAAACCTCTTTTAAACCTTCAACTTCAGCTTCTGAGGCAGAAATATTTTGAGCGTTTAAGGAATTATTACCGTCACCATGAAATTCAATTTTCGATGGATGAAATCAAGAAGGTCCCATTTCCTACTGACTGTCAAAATTTAAGTTCTCTGCGGAGAAGAGCATGGATGCGGTTCTTACAGCTTCCTGGATAGGCGGCATCAGATATTAAAGCTCGATGCAAAAAAGAACCTAAAGGATTTCAGTTAAACAAGTCAGAAAAAAACCTGGCTTGAAAGCAAAGGCAAAAACACTGTGAAACATGAAAAACAAAGTAAACGTAAAACTTATAACTATTCTTTTCATTCTTTTAAGGGTGTGTTTCTTTTAAAATGCGTTTTAAAAGCCTGCAGGTTCCATGAGATATGCTTTTTTGGAGACGTGACTTGATGTTGCTCTAAAAAGCCAAGTGATAAAAACAAGAGGGGAAATGGTCCCGTACTCTCTCTTCCCTTTTTATCGGAAATGAAAGAGCAGGCCATTTACAATACCCAATTTTCCATGACATTTTTTTGCCTTTAAATGGAATTAAATTACTATTTTGTAATCATGCTTTTTTTCTAAATTAAAAGGAAGTATCAAACAAAGCATACTGAATTTTCCTGTATAAATAAACATTTTGTAGATCCCCCCCTCCTTTTTTTTTTTCGAAAAAATGATCAGCTGGAACATTCCTGCCATTTCCACCTCTGAGTAAAGCCCGAAAACTCCGAATTGCACTTGGTCCCCAGGCACTGAGATTTAAAGGAGACATATTATACCCTATTTCAACAAGGTAAACCAGTTCCCTGGTGTCCTAATGTAATGTCTGTGAAACACTTTGGTCAAAATAACCTAAGGATGAAACACAATAGTAGTTTAATCACCCTGCCAAAACAGCCCCGTTCCGAGCGCTTGGGTTTGAGTGCCTGTCTCTTTAATGCAAATGAGACACAGGCAATCCACCCACTTCTTCCGGGAGGTGTGCAGAAGTCGGCACGCTAACGCTACGAAACGCCACGCTAACGCTAACGCTAACGCTCACGCTAACGCTCACGCTACCACAACGTCTGCCACAGATAGGCGAATAAGCTGAGATGGGTGGCAACATCCATCTAATGAGCTAGAGCTAATGACATCATAAACTACCGATTTCTGAAACCGCCTGATTTATCTCCTGTATTGAGACTGAGGCGGCCCACAAAAATATGAATGAGTAATTTTTTTTCACACTTTGCCTGCTGATAGGCCCTCCACAGTCCCAAATGTACATAATAAAATGATTAAAATTTTGTTTTTGGATAATATGTCCCCTTTAAAAAGAATTCCACCATAGATGAATCCAGATGTCTGCTCACATTTACAATTACCTTCCAATGACATTTCTGTACAATGACTTGGGCACTGTTCATTAGAAATAAGCACTTACTGAAGAATGTGTAAAAGGGTCATCATCTGTTATGATTCAGAAAAGGGTTGACTAATTTTGCAGATGAAGGCACTGAAAAGAAGCGTGGGTGTTTTCACAAAACTGTACCGCTGTGTACACAACACATTCCTTCCTTCTCCGCACGGATGACGCGGATTCAGTTCCATGAAGGCTGGTGAGCTTTACAATTGTCTTCTTTGGTGCTGGACACTATCTGTCCTGGTTGTTCGACCTTAGGCCACAGTCTGAGGCATCCTCAGAAGGGGTATCTAGGACGGGGTTGACGAAGCCCTCAAACTCAGCGTCTGTGCTGTCCTCTGGGTGAGTGCTAACAAAGTCGTTCTCCCACTCCAAAGCATTGGAGTCCTCGGAGGCTGAAGTCGGCCCGCTGGTCATCTGCTTGCCACCAGGCTTTAGAGCTGCACGCAAGATGTCTTCCTCGGTCCGAGACCTCTCCCAAACTGGAAGAGTTCGATTGATACCTGCAAAGAAAGGACGCAGACTCTAAATCTGAGAGTTGATAGCGAGTTAGGCATTATGATTTTCCTGGAGGTAGCCAGCAAAGCTCCAATCAACCATCACCACAGAATCTAAGGTGAGTCTTTAGAGACTAGACTGTAACTGTGTAATTTCAGTATTAAACCTAAACGTAATTTAAATATAATAATCTAGTCAATACAATATGTATTTAGAGGATGAATATATCAAATACATTGGGATCTATTTTTAGAAGTGCAAATATTAGTGAAATAAGGCGGTATTCAAAGCCTGATCGGAATAAAAACGCTTTATGTAAACATACCAAAACCAAGATTCTGACATAGTCATGTTTCTGTTTAGCAGACAATTTTATCCAAAGCGAATTACAAAGTAGACACAATTTTACAGTTATCATCAGTATCACAATAAGTTCACAGTCATTTGAATGTGTTACGTCGATTGCCGTTATCCTTATTATTCTCATCTCGCATCCCTGTTACATCGGAAGGTTTTATGGAGCCCAGGATAATTAGAGAAATATCTTAAATACACAATGCTCATCAATTGCAAGAAGATAATCACACAAAAGCTCTGAAGCGAAAAGAGAAACTGGACTGGGTAAGACACACACAGAACTCATCACAGATTGATCTCTTACTGCTTCCATTTCCGAAAACTCCAACGGCACGTATCAGAACGCGTTATTCTCCAATTTGGATCAGAATTCTGTCCCAGATGCAGAAATTTTTAGCATACAAATGCAGCTAATGAATTGAATAACAGAAAGGATATAAAGTTCAAATTAAACTAAACCCCCAAAAGGTTGGACGCATGTGAAATGTTTTCAGTACCATCTAATATAATTGAAAAAAAATCTTAGCTTGTGTTGAACTGGATCAAAGGGTCTCTAGTGTCTAATGGAGTGGCTGTAAAGAATCAACTGGGGCAACATGTTGCAGCCAGTGAGGGTAAGTTAAAGAAGGGTTAGTCACATTGTTTGGTTTAAAAAGAGCACCTAAAAGAGATGGAGTCTCACAGACGGTCAGCAAAGATTCATCAATCTACCTCCAAAAATGTTGGAGTTTACAATTTGTAGTTGTTACATGAGTTGGTCTAAGGAATGCAAATATAATGTAAACAAAACTGCCAGAAACATGTCTGGTGGCTTAATCAGGTTTGCTGTATAGTTTGAATCCATAATCCAAGTAAGCTTTTAAAGGGTGTGAATGTTACGTGAAACAGTTTTAAGCTTAGCAAAAAATGCCATCACTCACCTTCCTCGTCCTCCCACTCGAGATCAAGTGAGGTCCCGTCATCATTGGTTGAGCGAGTCTTTGTAGTAAAATCCCAGCTATACTCGGTGTTAGGGGTCACGGCATTCGCCTCAGAGGGAAGTCCTAAAAACAAAATAAAATAACAAACCAACATGTCAAAGTGCAAAAAATAGAAATTCTCTATGGACAAGTTTAAAAGGCGGAGCAATCACAAATGTTTTTAACTCATTGACTGCCAGCCATTTTCAGAACAGAGAGTCGCTCACTGCCAGAGTTTTTTGAGAATTTTGACTGATTTTTCAAGAGCCACAGAATAGTTTGTGCTATGACTATGTAAACACCGAACACACCAAAAGAAAGAGTAGACTCTCTTCTTTCATCAGGAAAAAAGATTTTGTTTCTACCTCATTCCGTTCTTCTTCGACGTGCGTCTCACCGGCGACATGTTCTCTCATAGCGAACTATTGCGTTTGTTTTTATTTGCTTACAATCTATGCTAATCTCCCATCAAAAGTGGCACAGCTACCTAGAGGGTACATTTGTTAGTCCATACTCTGTCTAGAAGCCGATATTTACGGGAAAACTTTCGCCGATCGTCCCCCAAGCCACTCGCATTGAAAAACATAAAAGACGTCTATAGACGTCTTTGGCAGTCAGCGGTTGGATTTGAAAAGACGTCTATAGACGTCTTTGGCAGCGAATGAGTTAATATAAGCATAAAGTAGGAGTCAAGAGTGATCACTCACTATTGCTCCTGAAAGCTTCGGACTGGGCTTTGACATTCTGGAGGTAGATGTCAAAATCCTCCCCAGAGGATGGTCTGGAATATGACGTGAGAGTAATCAACACAACAACAGAAATCTATTCACAGCACAAGCTACTCTTCATTCCTGATGTCTCTTGCATTTCCAACCATTTTCCCAAATAAACTTTCCTGACTCTGTTAGCAAATCTGCTTTGTTTGCCAGCATTTGCTGCATCCTGGCAAAGTGAAATGACGCACTGTTGCATTCAGAGACTGTGGAGCTGTGATATGTTCTCTGCAACCTTCACGCTGCAGCAACTAACATTCAAATCATTAATGTCTGAGTGCTAAGAAAAGCAACAAATTGAATCCATACTATAGACATAATTGACTTTACAGGTGTTAACGAGATTGTGGGAAAGTATCTTGGGAAAGTCCTTTGCTGTCGTTCAGTATCTCTTTTTTGCCAAACTTATACGACTCACTTTCTTTGTTGGGTTTCACTGCCAGAGCCATCTGCTTTCCCCCGTGTCCCCTTGGCAGGTGGCTGCAAAGCAAATAACACCACATATCAAACTAAAACATTTGGCAGTGTGGATATTGAAGACAGCAGCGGGTAATTTTTTTTTGTTTTATTTTTCTATCAACACAACAGAACAACAGCAGAGAAGCCGTGAAATGTGGAAAGCAAAAAAAAAAACTAAACAACCCACCCCCAAAATCTCAGCCATCTGATGTTTTTCATTCATTTTCTTTTCAACTCTCACATTTATCAAGAAAACATGTTCAGTCCATCAGGTGTAAAGGAACTAAGGACAGATTTGGATTAAGGCCCATTTCCAGTTTTGAAAAAATTAAATAAACAAATACAGGCTAAAGAAAATAAAGACACATGGAATTAAATAACTCTATTGCTGTAAACCCATCGACTCATCCACCTTTCTCTGTCTGTAAACTTCTGAAGTTTGCGTGAATGTTTGTCCAACTCTTTGAGACTGCAAGCTATATCCAGCTTTACAGGTCACTATGAAGCAGCCCCTGAGGAGGTGCCTTCTAATGTTTTTGTGACTGAGGTATTGAAAAAAGAGGCAGCTTCAAAGAGTAAATACAACAGGGAGCCCATTAAGAACAAAAGTCGAAAGGAAGAAGTTAGAGGAGAAGCTTTTATTTTAGGTGAACTGGCAGAAGGGAGCGCTCAGTGCTGCCTCACCTCCTTCAATTTTCGTTCACGTGCCAGCCTGGCGGCCTCGCGCTGGGTGGCATTTCTAGCCTCCTCTTCTAGCCTTAACTTCTCCTCTTGTGCCTCTAACTGAGCAGAAATAACACAATGGAACAAATACAAAACAGAAAATTACAAAAAACAGAAGGAAACTAAGTAGCAAATTAAACATAAAGCCAAAACAAGTGTGAATCAAAACATAAATAATGAAATTATGAGGACTGACGGTTCAACAAAGATGGATGCTCTTGGTGGAAGAAAAAAAAACTGTCTTACCTCAGCTTGAAGTTTTTGGTCTATCAGGTTCTGTTTATCTGTTATAGCAGCGTAGCAGTGTTCTCTGAGGTGTATTATCTCATCTTCACTGATAGGCCTGATTAAAGTATAATAAAGGTAAATAAATAATTTAGAAAGTGCTTATAAATGTATTTCTTTTTTAATGAATTAGTCCTGAAGCCTCACCTAGGGCAGGGCTGTGGACTTTCAGCCTATTTCAGACAGAAAAGAAAAGAACACAGCAGTCATCAGTGGATTCCAATCTGAAGTTAATTTATCCTGCTGTACTGCTTTATTAGGGTTTATGCAAAAAAAAAAAAAACTGGGTTAATCCTTAGAAGGAAAAATGAATGATGCCCATGCAGTCTAGAGATAGGTGCATCGTGGGTGTAACTCATCATTTTGGAGCCATGGTGGAGTGGCTTAAATCAAGAAGATTAAACTATTACATCTTTAATTAGGTTTAGGACACGCTCCAGCCCCCCCATGGATGGATGGATGGATGTATCTTTAATCAGAAACAAAGTACTCTTCAGATTAAGTTTTTATCCTGTTAACATGTCCATAAAGCGTTTTTTTTCTTTTCTTTTTTTTTTTAAATGTAGCAAGACATACTTGCTTTGAATCTTCCAAGCGCCACCTACAAGATCAAAAAGATGATTTTAGACAGTCCTCATTTTCCATCCATCCACCCATTTTCTTTTGCTTATCTGAGTTCGGGTCATGAAGGGAACAGGTGCCAGTTGGAAATCCAGAGTGACATTCTCCAGCTCCTCGTGGGAATTCTGTGGGCTCGACAAGATTTCTGATCCCTTTATCAAGTTCTGGGTCTTCACCCAGTGGGACATGCCCGGAAATACTCTAGCGAGGTGACCAGGACACATCCTAACCTGACGCCCAAACTACACAAAAGCATTTTGCTCAGGAAACAGTTTTTATTTCAGAGGTGTCATGAGTACATACACTCAGCGGTGTGTCACCTCTCTTGGGTTTACAATACCTTGCTGGCTCTCATGCGTCAGACTCAGTTCATTGTGAACAGGACATTTTCAAAAGCATAGATAAGGCATGTGGAGCTGTTGTCATTCATAGATCCCCATTCACTCAACAATTGGCAGTGCCACACTCTATGCAATATCAATTCCATAAAAGGATAGTCAGGTCAAAACTGTCAAAACATAAAATACTGGAAGCCCACAAGAAGAAAAGACTAGAAGAAGACTTACCTCATCACTTTCTACCAGGTTTTCAAACTGCAGAATGAATAGAATCCGTTCAAAAACCTTGCACTGTGCGACAATAATTTAAAACAGATCATGTCTGAAATGTGCCGCTCATACCTCTATTGTGTAATGCTCCCCCGTCGTACTGCCTCTGAAGTATTTTGACCTGTACACATAATTACAGTGAACATATTATGGGGATAAGATGGAATGACTTAAAAACTTTACATTACATTAAATTAGACCTGCGATGTAATGAATCCTCTATGTTAAAACAACTCTTTTCTGAATTCTCTGCATGTTGACACCTTGACAAGTGATCACTGTCTTGGAGAGTTTGCCAAAGACATATAACCAAATATCTTAGTTCTTGTGTATTTTGTGTCTTTAATTAAAAATCAAGCTAAATTACGTTACATCTCATCACACATTGTATCTGAAATAAATAACACATCGTTCTATTTCTCTTCCCATACTACAATGAGATGGCAATTTGCTCACATGACTAAATCCTCACGCGAAAATATTGGAGAAGAATTGATAACTCCGCAGATTCCGCTGGGGGCATTGAAAGCGTACTCTCGACCGAACAAAGCTCAACGTCAAATCAGACTGAAAACATCAATTATTTAGACGCAGTTTAGTTACAGCACAGACGGACAACGCCTGTTCAATCACCGCCTACAAAATGTCAGGACATTGCTGCTGATAAATACATAATTGTTGCAATGACATCTTGAATAGCTCCAGTCTAGTCTATGTTATGAAAGCCAGGATGTCTTGCACTTTTTGACCCAGCTTTCAACAAAAGGGGTGGGGTTTTGGATCATTGCATTGCCCTTCCAGTGGTTAGGACCCCATTTAACCCGTACAACTGGGGATATATCGGTTCTAACACCACACGTAAGCTTCAAACTGTGTCAGTCAACTGCCCTGCAAACTGTTTGTTCCTCTTATGACCACCGGATACGCCGGCATAGGTGATGCTCGAACGCTAGTTAGCTTTAAAAGGCTAACCCTATGTCTCACTTACCCGCCTCCTCTCTGGATTCTGTTGGCTTCCCTCCTGAAGAGCCCAGCACAGTAAGTCCAGCAGTTACCCATCGCATTGTCAGGTATTGACTGTTTCTAGCTGCCTTGCTAGCACTCCCAAAACAGCCACTTGTGCTTCATAGCAAAATGCAACTTCTTCCTGCCTGCTCTGTTTAGCTGCTCTATGGCTCCAACCACTTCCTCACCCTCCTTCCTCTCCGGTTGACGCCGTAACATGAAGAGCAGAAAAAGCGATACAGCTTCACCTAGTGGTGACCTTGTGCACTATGCATGAATGCTTTTTCATGTGTTTGAATGTGAGTTTTATGAAAGTTTACTCAGCTATGATGACTTCAAACTTAAGTATAACCATGATGTAGCTCCTAAAGAGGTGGATATTCTTTGATGCTGTAACTAGTGATCCTACTAATCAATATGTGATGACATATGTCAAAACAATAGACAATAGTGTCATTTTTGCAAAGAGCATACAGAAACAATCAGACAGTTTTTCTCGAATTGTTTTTTTGACGAGAACATTTTTTATAATGAAATTTTTTTTATATGTATTGTAGAAGCCTATGCCACTGGCATTATTTATTTCTTATACGTGTTTTGTTCTTTTTTTCTTTTTATCTTTAATTGAAGTTGTTCTTTAATAAAAAAATTAATTAAATGTGTTTGAATGATAAATATCAGATAACGCTCAAAACACTGTGTTTAGTACCATCTTTAAAATGCATTGCTTTGTACAATAAAGGACAAAAATTAAGAAGAAAAGAGCACTTTTAATGTTTTAGTGTAACTGGAGAAGAATGGAAATAGACAGCATGTAGATTTTTAAGTTTTAGATTGTAAATTGAGAGTTGAATTAAATGATTGCACTGAGAATAAAGAATATATTTTTGCATGACTTGTCAATCTTCATGATTCACCAACCAGCCATAACAGTAAGTACAATAAAGCAAAAGCATGTTTGCTGTACATTATTTCCAAGAGTCAATATAATGCATTATTCTACGGTAACTCATGATTTTCTAAAAAAAATAAAATAATTTGTCTTCAGATTAATAATCGTTTCCTTTCCTTTACTCTGTGTCCTCTGAGTCAAAGAGCAATTCGTTGATGTCATCTTCAGCAAGGCTACTGTCCACGCTAATGACTTTGACTCTCTGGGAAATGGGCCTGCATCTTGGCACCAGCTTTCTTCCACTCTGAAAGAAGACAATGTTTTCCATACTGCCTTAAATTACAAATATTGGCCTTTAGAGGCTTAAGGAGGATACTTTCCACATGAAAGCCATAACTCAACTCTTGTAAACTAGAGGTGGTAGTTTACTAGAGTTCAAACTAAATCTGGAGAATAAATGAATGACATACTATTTTCTTTGAGTCAGCGAGGGACCTCTCCAAGTACCTCTGCATCCTTTCTTTTTGTTTTTCTTCTCGCTCTCTCAGCTTTTCTTCACGCTGTCTGCAGCATAGTATAGGAAGAACATTTGTTAAATAACGTCCTTTGTTTCCCATGCAGTGACCATCATAAAAGGGCAGAATGCCACTTGGTCAAATGTTTCTTGTCTTTAAGAAACCACAAATAATCACAGGGACTTACCTGCTCCTCTGCTCGCTGTCCTTGATCTTTTTCAGCATCTCCAGTCTACCCTCAGGGATGCTCTCCAGACTAAGCAGCAGCGAAAACATACGACTCTCAATGTTGGCCACCTTCTCCAAGGTGCTAAGGTTGGTAATTCGGTCATCGACACAACTGCGATGCACCTCGGCCACCTTCTCACCGAGAGACTCTAACATGGCATCCTGTAAGCAAAGACAGTTTTAATCGTGCCAGGACATGACCTGATGCCGATTGGTTGAATGCAAAAGGCTCACAGAGAAAAGGTCCCAATAGTTACGTATGATGTTACTTATAATGTTCTTTTCAGTTAATAATCAAAACGGAACCCTGCCATTTGTATAGGATATTTCTAATGGTTGGTACAAAAATGTTTGCGGTAAAGCTGAAAGTGGTAACAAAAGAGAGAACTCAGGTTGTAGTCGAATGTTAGAAATGTATCCAAAAGCACGATGCTAAGATGACTGTAGCCTACTAAATATTCTACAAGATATTTCCGATATTTCAGCTGGTAACTAGTCCATGTGATAGTCATCGTCTTGTAAACTAAAATGTGGAGTATAAAAATGGCCATCATGAAGGTGCCTGCCGTTGAGGCAGCCAGCTTTGATAAAAGGCTCATCAGCTTACTGTGAACCTAAAGGTGTTTTACGGCTTCTCATAAATTTCCCATTAAAGAACATCTGGATGATTCTTCACAAGTTTTGGCAAACTAGGCTCCCAGCAAGTGCAAGGTCACCGTTTAAAACTACAAAGACGTTTCCTTTACTGTCCAAATTCACTACTTTCTACCGATTTTGAGAACAATGTTAGAATCAAACAAAACAACAATTAGATTCACCGTCTTTTGATCATTTTTTAACTTTTGATGTAATGTTTCCTAACCTGGTCTTCTGTGCTCAGTGACACGTGGAGTTGAATCTTCTGTTTGAGCTTGGCCCCTCTCGCCCTCTCCTTATCGATTCTCTGATTCAGATAATTTACTTGCTCCCCTATCAGCTCTTCATCCTTCCCACTTGAGACAGAGAGGAAATTCCAAACAAAATATCACACATTTAATTGGCAGTGGCTTGACAGACGTCAGAGAACGTACATCTTGCTCCTGGTTGTCTCCAAGGATTGGCGGAGCTTCTCCAGAGCTTCCTCGACCCTGGCACAGTTCTGGATCAGAGACAGGTTCTGCTCCGTCAGCTCTGTCATCAGCTCCAGAATTTGTTGGGGATCAGTGAAGTAGAGCTTTGGTTCGTCCTAAAAATATCGAGAATGAAGCCGGCGAGGCAAGGCGGTCGCTTCACAAAAAAGCCTACACTGACTGGTGGTGCACTTTAGGGAAACTGACCTCACATTCCGAGCTGTCGCAGTCCGACTGAGACTTGGCGTCTCTAAAATAACAAAGACGAACTTTTAGACTTTTTCATTGTTGTAGCGGCACATATGATTGTGACCATGTCACAAGTGTTTAAGCGATACCAGGATACTGCGTGTTCAAAGAAAGAATTCTTAAGAATTCTGCTATATTCACTTGCTGCCACATGTTAAGATTGTGCCACAAGAGGGCGCCTCCCACCAGAGATGATCTGTTCTGGTGACACATTTCGTGGTTTCACACGGTTGTAATTCTGTCTGTCTATATTCTGAAGGGCCCATTCATTTAGTTGGAAAAGAATAGCAAAAATCAATTATTGTTCAAATGACAGAAGCTTTTGTTAAAGATAAGATCACCCACTTGATGCATATGCATCATCAGGTTTGTCAGCATTCCTTTAAGTGCTTTGATAAGAATGACATCAGAAATGTTTGGAGGTTTGCTCTTTTTTCCTGACTGTAATATGCTGAGGTCTGTTTTGTTAATGCCACCTCTTTCTTGGTTTGAGTGTGGTCTGATACGGTCCATTGGCTATGTTGCTAAACATGCTTAAGTTCACACATTCAAACCAGATTCTCACGAATTGTAAAAAACTTTTATTATTAAAACGATTTCTAGACACTTCTTTCTTTTCCGCATATGTGTCTTCCATTGATAATGTGTAGAAAAACTTGAAACATATTTAATCTTTACATCTTTATATCTATATGCCAAGCAGTGGGCGTGCAGCAGAACTGAGGAGCTGTGATGAGAACTGTATGTGAGTGTGCTGATGCTTCCGTACAGTGTGTCGCTGCGAGCTGAGGATGGCCGGGTTTCTATGATGGACGGAAGTTCCCCTTCTGAACGAGACAGCTTATCATGTAAACCTGTGTGAATACAAATTACTGAAATATTCATTAGAAACTACCCCCTCCTTCAACACAGAAGAAGGAGGGAGAGAGGAGACTAAATAAAGAAGTAAAAATAGCTCATCGTATCTCAGTTTCTCCTGGAGTAAACACCATCCTGGTATTTTGTTTGTTTAAAAGTGTATATAAATGAGAAATACTTGCTATTTCTGACAGCCATCCAGTGAGGCTTGTTGTTTAGTTCATTCGGTCCATATTTGTCAGAAAGGACTTTAGCTTTCATGGCCTTGCTCGTCTGTTCTTCCTGCCACTCAGGAGGAGAGAGCTTGAATAGAAATTCCTGGTATCTCTTATAGTCCATTAGGGTTTCATCCAACTTGATAAGTTCACTGCACGAAGGGAGGGAAAAAGGCACAACTCTGCTCCTTTACTGTCTCCTATGCTTTTAGTCTCTCTTACTGTGCCTTTTGGATAAACACTTCCATGACTATTTGAACTCTACCTCTTTATGTTCCCCATTTCAGCAGTTAGTTTCCTAAACTGAGCGTTCTTCTCTTGTTTCGCCTTGTCCTCCTGGTCAAAACTGGCAACATATAAAGATCTTTCTATCAAGAGCATGAACATGTTAATTTGTTAGGACAAAATTAAAATAAAAAAATATCACGGTACGTCTTACAGCCGCCTGGCCTCCACAGACTTTCTTTCGTTCTCTCTGAGGAATTCCTCAAACCTATGATTGTCTTTCTCAAGGTCTTTTTCGAGCTGTCTCAGCTTTTTTTCCTCTTTTGCGATGGCTCTGTCCATCCTGGAAATTTCAGAGCTCTTGGTCATCAGCGATAACTGAGGAGAGGTGGATACGGTTAAATGGAGAATGTGAACAATTCAGGAGAAGTCAGTCAGCCATCATCCTCAGATCTACTTCTCAGTTCCCAGCTTTTTGTGTTTCAACTTGTCCTATCTATCTATCTATCTATCTATCTATCTATCTATCTATCTATCTA